CGCCGCCATCCCCACGCCACGTCCGGGGCGGCGCCGGCGGAGCCCCGGCCCCTCTCGCTCTCTTAGAAGAGGCCGGCGGTGAGGGGCCGCAGGCGGGAGCCCGTAAGGCGGTTCAGCTCCTCCAGGATTTGCGCTTCCTTCTGGTACATCTGTGGGAGCAGCGGCGGTCAGCGCCGGGCGAGCCCCGGTTCCCGTCACCGGGGTCTCCGGTCCACCCCATCATGCCGGACCCCGCGCACCCTCCCCGGCCGCGGCGCGTCCCGCACCTGCTCCCACTCGGGCTTCGTATCGTGCCGGTAGCCGAGCAAGTGGCACAGTCCGTGGGCCGCCGTCACCTGCACGGGGGGCGGGAGCACAACGCACGCGTTACCGACCGAACCCGTGCGCGCCCCGCCGCCCAATTCCCCCGGGCGTGCCTCACCGTCAGGACGTCGTCAAAGTCCTCCCCGGTTTCGCRGCACTGCTGGTGGATGTATTCCACCCCCAGGAAAATGTCCCCTAGGTTGTAGTCGTCGCGGCAGCGCGGCCGCGGCAGCTCCCCCGCCGYCACTTGATGGAACGGGAAAGAGAGGACGTCGGTGGGCTCCGGGCACCGTCGGTAGGCGCCGTTCAGACGCTGCATGAAGGCGTTGCTGGCACAGACCAGCCCCACGTCGAAGCGAGAGGCGCCCAGGGCGGCGCGCAGGGCACAGACGGCGCGGCGGAGCGGGGCCCGGCGCACGGGCACGACACGCTGCGCGTTCCGCAGCGCCACGCTCATGGCAGCGCCGCCACCCTCAGGCCAGCGAGGGCCCCGCCCACCCGCTGAGGCTCCGCCCCACAGCCCCGCCCACCAGCGCATCCACCAATTGATGGCCCGCCCACCACCGGAAGCCGCGCCCACAAAGGTCACGCCCACAAACAGTTACCCACACCTGTCCCCGCCGCTATGTTGCTGCTGCCCCCGTGGCCCCGCCCACTTTGCACTAACTCCGCCCACCGCCCGGTGGCCGAGGCCTGTTCCCGCCCCGCGCATGCGGCTCTCTCTTCCGCGGGCGGTCTGAGACCGCCGCCGGCGCTGCCGCCGAAGCAGCAGCAGCCATGTCGGCGCGGGGCCCGTTCCGCGGCCCGCCCTCCTTCCCGCCGCCGCTGCGCTTCGGGCAGCCCGCCGTGTTCGGTCAAGGCGGCGGCCCCACCGGCCTCCCCTTCGCGCCCGCCGCCACCTTCGCGCCGCCCTACGCGCTGGGCCAGGCGCCGGCCCCRGCGGGGAACTCGGGGTTCAGCTTCAGACCGCCCACCAGCCTAGGCGGCTTCCCGACCTCCGGCGAAGCGTCGGGCGGCGGCAGCGGTGCCTTCGCGGCGCCCGAGTTCCGCTTCAAGGCGCCCGAGAGCGCCGGCGCCTTCAAGCCGGTGTCRGGCGGCGAGGCGGAGAAGGGCCCGGCTGCCCCCGCCGCCTTTGCTTTCTCGTCGCCCTTTGGCTTCGCGCCCGAGACGGGCCCCGAAGCGGCAGTGGCGCGGGAGTCTTTCTCCTTCTCGCGTCCCGCCTCCGCTTTGGGGCGGCCGGAGGAGAGAGGACCGCGGGCGCTGCCGGAGGATCCAGGAGAGCCGCCGTCCAAGGGGCTGAAGCGGAAGGAGGAGCGGGAGCGCTCTCCGCGGCGGGCGGCGGCGGGCGGGCGGGCGGCAGCACCGCCGGAGAAGCGAGCRGTGGTCCTGAGCCGGCCCCGCGGCGGGGTGCTGTTCGGCCGCACGCTGGAGGAGCTGCTGCGCAGCCAGGTCCGCGAGCAGCGGGAGCGCGGGGACGGCCCGGAGGTCGAGCGGGGACCCGCCGAAGAGCCGCCGCCGGCCGAGGCCCGGGAGCCCTCCCGAGAAGGTGAGCGGGGGTCTGGTGGGGCAGCCCGGCCGCCCGGGTGTCACTCCGCTCGCTGACTGCTGTCGTGTTCATTCTCTCCACAGATGGGACCGCAGCCACCCCTGCTCACCGGAGCCGCAGCGGCGAGAGCACGGAGGGGCTGGGGGGYCTGCCGACTGCCGAGCTGACAGCCATCCAGTGCAAGAACATCCCCGACTACCTCAACGACAGGACCGTGCTGGACAAACACTTCAGTCAGTTYGTAAAAGTTCGTCGGATCATGACCAGGCGTAATAAAAAAATGGCTGTTCTCCACTTTTTTGATCATGTGAGTATCAAAAGTGTCATAACACTTGGGGGTGTTCAGCCTGGAGAAGGCTTCAGCCATACCTTAGAGCCCCTTCTGGTGTCTAAAGAAGGCTTACAATAARAGAGGGAAAGCTAACTTTTTGCAGGGTTGGATTGGGAGAGGACAAGGGGAAGCAGTATAAACTAAAAGAGGAGTTAGACATTAGGAAGAAATTGTTTGGAGGTGATGAGGCCCTGGCACAGGTTGCCCAGTTATGCCGTGGGTGCCCCATTCSTGGAAGTGTTCGAGGCCAGGTTGGATGGGGCTTAGAGCAGCATGGCATAGTGGAAGGTGGATCGTCCTTCAGGTCCCTGCCAACCCAAACCAGTCCCTGATTCCATGAAGAAAGACTTAAATCTGAATACTTGGGGTGGGTCCAACGCTGATGAAAACTACGCTCCTGTTAGTRCAAAAGCAGCATTTTTTGTGGAGACCAGTTCAGCTCATGGCATATACGTCTTAAGTGACATTAAAATAACAGCAACCAGAATTTTTTGGGAATTGGTAAATGTTTTTCTGGCAATACTGCACTGTGTGTTTCGGTGCTGTGATGCCAATAGGTCTCCATGCTCTGCTTTTGTTTCCTTTCAGGCCTCTGCAGCTCTTGCCAGAAAAAAAGCAAAGGAGTTGCACAAAGACATTGTAACATTTTGGCAAAAGAAGAAAACAAGTAAGTCTGTGTTTCCAGATTACTGGATGATGTATAGTGTTCCAGCTGCTTTTTTTTTTTCCTGATGTACTGAGAATGATGCCTAAATTATCTCCATAGTATGAGATACCATGGTTSAATCCTTAATGCAGTCACACAACAGCAATATGGTGATGTTAACTTWGTGCCTCTATCCAGAAGTAGAATGTTCTTTGAGAATGTAAGAAAACCCTTTGAAATGCCTTGCTGCCTACCTCAGATCATGGTTGTGGGCTTCCAGCTTTCAGGACAAGGTTCTGACCACCAATTTAAGGGAAGTGTCCTAAGAACCTCCGCAGTGTCTGCTGAGCTTGCTGTTCTGTGTATCAACAGTTAGACACTGTTGGAACCAAAACAAAGAACAACCTAYAGAGTTTAGGAATGGGAAACCTGGATTCCAGAGCCTGCTTGGGATTAGGGCAAGAGGMGGTTGTTGAGTCCCCAGGCAAATACTCATAATGTCAAGTGCTTCCCTTTCACTGGCTCCATGAGTGCAGTGTGTGTGCTTGTGAGCTCCTAGCCTGGGGGTGCACTTCAGCTGCCTGCAGATGAATGGGTCAGCACGGCTTTGACCAACCACAGCCTTGCCTTCGAGAAAACCAACAGCTGCAGACTTGTCTCCCTGAGAATTAACATATTGAAGCAGCAGCTCTGGGGCTGCCTCTTTGCCTTTGTCATTTTRTTGTGGTGTTATGTCTATGGCAGCACTCTGACATAACTGTTCTGGGAGAGTTTAAGAAGTCCAGCTGGTGGAAAAATTGTCCCTGGGAGAAATTCTCCCTTCCTGCAATTGGTTAYTCATGCTGACCTGAGTCTAAGTTTGTTGGGTATGTGAAATAAAGTGTTTCAGAAGGAGTACTGGGACTTGTGGTTTTTGCAGGTGAAATGGATTTCATATCCCATAGGTTATGACTTGTGGATTATATCCCAAACCTGARAGAACTTTGATTCGTTTGAGGCTCAGACTTCATTTACTGATAATTACAGTTATTATTAAATTATATTTTCTTGAAAAAATACTTATTCTTTATAGAGCAATGACCTTAATATCAATTGATGAAAATGTGATACAGCTCGTAGTGCAAGTTGTTCTGGGAGTTTTGCACACATGTACAAAACTGGCAGTCCTAATTTTCACCACCATCCTCATGGGGTCAGGGGAGAGTTGCTTAAACTGCTTGACAGGTACCTGCTTTCRTGTTTCTGTGTCATTTTAGGTCCAGCAMTAAGAGAATTTTCATCCAAGGAGAAGAAAGCAGGTGAAGATGAAGGAAGGCAAAACAGTGAAGAGCAAAGCTATCAGCATTCCCCTCTTAGAAAACCTTTAATAAGATCCTCTGCTGGTGGTGTCATGCCTGGGAGAAGGTATGTCCTCTCCTCTGGGAATCCACCTGGC